GAACCAACTCAATGGCAGTTCACAACAGCCAGAGATGGGTGTTTGGAGGGCTTTTTGGGGTCTTTCATAGATTACCCAATGGTGGCGATCAAACATTGATTAAATCAACAGGAATCACCAGGTACCAAGAAACAAAGGAGATGACTCTTGGAATGTATGTCCTAGGGATGGGGTGTCCTTAGGAGCTAGGGCATCATTTTATTTCTCCACATACAAGGACATTGATTATAAAGCACAAAGCCACAAGGGAAAACTGAAGCCCAGGCCTCTGAATTCATCAGTGGTAACTAGGTCTGCGGTTAGGGATCTCAGTCACCTTTTGAGATTGAAATACTGGATTTACATGTAAGCAATGGAATTAACCCCAACAGCCATAGCCCAAAGCTCCCAAGGAAGTGTCAAAACACCCTGGAGCTGAAGGGAGTGTTGGCCTACCGCCCCCCACCACCCCCCAAGTGGCTTGGAAGTGACAGGCTGCCCAGTCACCGGCAGGAAAGGAAGTGTCCAGACCAAAAGATCAGCCGAGTGCAGACTTGATGTATTAGGGCCCTTTCCTGTCTAGTTACAATCCAGACCTGTGTGGACCTTTGTCCATGCCCTTGGGGCCTGACCCAGTCATTCTAGCAAAGACCCCAGTGAAGGCGTGCACCCCAATAGGCATGGACTGTCCTGGGTTCCATCCCTGAGCAGATAAATAATGAAGATAGGGCTCCTTCAGCTAAAACCTCTGCAATCTGTGTCAAATACTCTGGAAGAGCCCAAGGATGAGACACCACAGAACATGTGCGGATCCTGGTTCCCCCCATCCACGTCCTTCCATACAACTGGTGCAGAATGACTGTCATACCTTTCCATGGTCACCCTGCTCAGCAGTGTGCCCATGGTAGCTGCTCTTCCCTTTGCTATCACTGCACGAGCCAATGGGATTGACTTTGGGTCGCCTCAGCCACACGGACTGGCCCCTTTCTGGGGCCAAGGTTTGCCCACTTCAGGGATGCCTTCACACCCTCTCACCGTCTTCAATTCTATGAGCATCTCGTTTGCCTCCAGCGTGCATACTAATTCTAATCATAGTCTGCTAGGATAGAGGATAGACTTGGGGCACAGCCCACAGGAGGGGGTGTTCAGGTGCCTCATGAAAGACACCAATGGCAAGCGCAGAGGGTTATGGTGAGTGAAATGGGCAGTTTTAGTAGGAAATGCCTGCAAGCTGGGTGACTTAGGAGAGCCTGAGCCAGTGCCCCTGACAGTTCCTACGACAGTATACTCTTCCCCCACCCCAAGGCTACCTGCTGAGTCGTGTGTGTGTGTGTGTGTGTGATTTCTGTGCTTTCCCTCGTGTGCACGATGTTGGTACAATGCACAGGAGACAGAGATTAAGACAGTGACTCATCTCGTCGTCTCCAGAGAACCGTGTGGGTAGTCTCTGAAAGAGACGGAAGCCATCTTCAAGGGCATCCAAATATCCCTGGGGGTCAAACATCATTTGCCATCAGGCTCAAGAGGCTACTCAGTGCATTTTAAAGCTTTAGTCTCTCATTGTGCTTTTGGTATTAAAAAAACTAAAAGTAGAAGAGAAAAAAAGGATAAGGAGAGAATGAAGAAGTTATATAGAAATTACAAATATGACCAGGGCCCCTCCCAGGCGTCCACGGGAATCTCTAACATCCCAGCCTGCAGAGCCACACCAGGAAGGCTGTGCCTGTGGGGGTGGGCAGGCATGACCGAGTCAGCCCACCACACGAGGGTCTGCACCATGGGAGTGATGCATACAAGTTCAAGGGATTCCCAGAAGTTTGTGGGAAAAGCTCATCATCTTTGAATTCCATTTCTCCATGGACTTTTCAAAGCCTCCTCAGACGTGGCGAGGAGTGTGGTATGATGCCAATGATTATGTGCAACAGTTCTCAGGGGTGGAAAGGAGACCCTGCCCCCTCAGCAGGCTGGACACTCGCCTGACTCCGAAGGACTTCCACCGTGTTGCAGATTCATGTCCCGTACGGCAAAGGAGACCTGCCCTGGGTTTCTGAGCCTGTGAAACTTCACAGAAAGCTGAGAGCCACAGCTTTTGCCTGTAGAGTGGTCCTGTGGACTTGAACCGCAGACCTCTCAGTTAACAGTTGAGAGCTTTAGCCACCATGCCACCAGGGTTCTGTACTTAGAGTTTAGTCCCAATTATTCTAAATCAATTGCTGGTCTGCCCAATTTTAAAAAAGAGAGGAAAGGAGGAAGGGAGAGAGGGAGGGAGGGAGAGAGAGAAGACAGAAGAGGGTAAGAGGGAAGGAAGGAGGAAACACCTCTGACTAGAATGTCAAACAACCAAACTGAGGGAGCTTTTGACAAAGACAGTCTCCTAGATCTCTGTGGTGGACACTGGAAATCTGGGGCTGGGAGATGGTTTCCAGCCATTGTGTAGAACTGGGGACAGTCATTTAGGGAGAATTTCCAGGGAAGCTTTTGTGAAACATTAACATCCTCGTTTCGACGGAAAATAAAATCACCTTTGAAGCTTATAAAGGCATCCTGGTGCGGCACTGTAGGATAAGCACTGGACTGCTAACTGCAAGGTTAGCAGTTCAAGCCCACCAGCTGCTCCTTGGAAATCTTATACAGGGGTGTTATGAGTCGGCACTGATTTACAGGCGGGAGAAAGATGAGGCTTTCTACTCCCGTAAAGAATTACACCCTCAGAAACCCTATACAGGGTCGCTATGGGTCGGAACCGACTCGATGGCACATAACAACAACAACAACAACTGAACAACAGAGGAGGGGCAGGGAGTGGAAAATGGCTGAAAGGCGCCTTTTCTTACAGGGGTGATGAGCTGGGTGTGCATCCAGACCTAGTCCAGCCTGGGGGCAGTCTGGGGCCCTCGGGTGTGTTCCACCCACTGCTGGTGGCCTCTGAGCAGAGACCGAGTAGCCTCGCGGTGTGGACAAAGCCAGATAGGACCCCAGCACCATCAGCCTCACCTACGGGACCTCCTGTTCCTGAAAAATGGGGTAGCAGTGGGGATTTTTAACTCAATAAGACTCATCACTAAAACTGGGGTTTCAACCTTTCCTGAATCTTCCTTTACTTGTAGGATAGGAAGAAATACGAATGCCAATCTCCTGCATAAACCACCCTATTTCCCGTTATCAATAAAAGCATGCTTTCATGTCTGTTGTTTAGTGACGTCACGCTCGTTCCCACTCATAGTGACTCCATATAGGG